GGGGGGGGGGGGGGAGCGGGGGATAACCTGTAGCAGAACAAAAACGGCACCGCCAACAAAAGGCTGATAAAAGGTCCACTGGCGCTTGTGGTGCTTCCAGAGGCCGCCGATACCATAGGTGAGGAAGAGGGCGAAGGAGAAACAGCAAAACGCGATAAAGACGAGGACTGCGGCCGAGGTTCCTTCATAAGCCTCGGCCATAACCGCGACACCAAGGCCGGATGTCGCTAGCAGCACCTGCAGCAAGTAAGGGGGGGGAGGGAGCGTGGGTCAAACCGCACACCGAGTCGGTGATAGCATTGTAGACGGTTGAGTTGGCATGGATTAAGGTGACCAAATACCTGAAGGCCCATGAAGCTCAGCCACCACCGATGGCCTTGCACAGACTGTAAAAAGGCGATGACATCCCGATGAATTGAATGGCCGGGCTCTTGGGACCCTGTACTAGATGGCTCGGTGCCCGGTTTGTAGTATGTCAGCAAGCTATGTGCAGGCGACCGTCAAGGGAGTCAAGGCGACAGGCTGAGGATTTGGCGCAGTCTCGATCGGGCATGCCAAAGGATAAGCGACCAGTGGCGGCAGACGAGTGAGATAGCAGATGAGCAGACCTTGCAATCATTACTATTTGGGTGAGCAGCGCTAGGACGCCAGCGCCGAGTTTGAGACCACGCAGGGCCAAGCTCGGATACAGGAGGGCAAGTCCAAAGGGCATGATGGGTGCGGCAAGAAAGAAGAAGAAGAGAGTCCAGGCTGATATTTGCAGAGCGACAAAGCGGACACCGCCCTGCAAGGGTTGGAAGTGGGTCCAGTTGGTGTGGGCCTGGGAACCGCCGCGCGTATACGTGATGACAATGCCCGTGGCGGCACTAAGGAGTCCCATCATGGCCAGCGTGTCCTCAAGGCCGGGGGAGTCGGTGCCAAATTCGGCGATGAGGAAGAGGACAAACCCGACAGCGACGAGGAAGCTGTTCAGACTCAAAATGTGCCAGAGACCTGAAGCAAGCGAGCCAACAGCTGGTGGGGCTGCGTCACGGTCTTCATGCTCGCGCACAGCGGGCGTTCGAGGAGTCGCTGGGGCCGAGCTGCTCGTGGATTTTGTTGAGCGCTTGCGCAGAATTGTTCGCCGAGTCACGCGCGGCGACTCGGGCACATCCTCAAGGTCGCTGAACAGGGTCGTGGGCGCGTCGTCGGCCATGTTGATTGCTTATCAGATGCCACACGCACAATGTCTAGCTGGCGGTGCTCTTCATTCAGTTCCAGTGTGGCCAAGCGCGCACCAGTGAAGCATACTTGTCCGCAGTTGGCTGCTGACCGCGACCGAGGCCCACCCCCGATAACCGCGGCGCGACTCTTCAATCCAACTGCTTCCAAGACAACCCCCACCCCGCCTGCAGTCCGTGTTGAACCATCCAGTCACCCCTTCGCCACCACATCCGCCGAACCTCCACTGCCAAACTGCCCCCGTGCCAAAAGACGTTCAGTCCGTCCGTCTGTGTGTGTGTGTGTGTGATCGTTTCGTCAAATGCGCAAAACAGCAAAAAGTGAGAGAGAAGAGAGGAAAACTTGTCAGAACTATTTGTCAGATAAAATAGGAAACGGTTGGTTGTTACCAAATGTGAAGGCATTACCAACTGTGAGGGGCTGTGAGGGCTTGTTGTTACCATCTGTTAGTCACCCCGAGTAACGCGAAACAAAAGAAATCATCTCAAAGGAATTCACCACCCAAGCGCCGTCGTGGCATTCTGATTTCTCTGATAAAAGCTCTCCTCTCTCATCTCTCATCCCTCTCTCTCTCTCAAGCTCTCTCTCTCTCTCTCTCTCTCTCTCAAGCTCTCTCTCTCTCAAGCTCTCTCTCTCTCTCTCTCTCTCTCAAGCTCTCTCTCTCAAGCTCTCTCTCTCAAGCTCTCTCTCTCTCAAGCTCTCTCTCTCTCTCTCTCTGTCTCTGTCTCTCTCTCTCTCTCTCTCTCTCTCTCAAGCTCTCAAGCTCTCAAGCTCTCCTCTCTCTCTTCTCTCTCGCTGTCTCTCTCTCTCTATCTCTCTCTCTGAAGCTCTATCTCTCTCTCATCTCTCTCTCATCTCTCTCTCTCTCATCTCTCTCTCATCTCTCTCTCTCTCATCTCTCATCTCTCATCTCTCTCTCTCTCATCCTTTCTTTTATTTGATGAGCAGTGGCGGTCGGGGTTGAGGGTCAGTGGCAGCGCGCGGCAACTTGTGTTCGCTTTCTCGTTGGCTCTTTTGCGGTGGTGGTGCCATGGGGTGTATGATGTGTGGTGTGCAGCCTTGGGTCTGGACTTGTGGTTGAATCGGCGTTTTTTTCTCACGGCTGCGTGGGGCTGATCTGATCTGGCTGCGTCTGGGTTTGCAGAGCCCGTCAACGCCGTCTCTCTCTCTCTCTCTCTCTCTCTCGCTCTCGCTCGACTTGCCCGCGGCGCCCGCGCCCGTGCTAGCGTGAGTCGGTTCAAGGGAGGAAGAGTCTGAGGCACATTGCGATGAGCAGGGATTTGACCTGACCTTTTCCCCTCCCCTTCTCTGCCCTTTCTCACCGGCGCTGCATCGACTCTTTCTACTGCCATTGCAGCCCGTTTGGCCCTGGTCTGCTTGATTTCCGACAGCAACCATCATGTTTCCTCAAGGCATGCCCGGTAAGGTTGCTTGCTGTTGTGCTGTGCCTGCCCCTTTTCGCCAACGAGATGCCCTGTTGGCACTCGAGTTCCAGCGCTGGCAAAGTGTCGCTCTGGTCTCTCTGCTGTGTTGATCGAACTCAGCCAATTGGTTGAAAGGTCCATATGCACATCCGCTCCTCGCTTTTCGTGCAACTTTGGGCTTTGCTCATTTTTTTGTGACCCCCGCCCCATGAACGGCATCGTGTCGCCCGTGCATGGTGCTAGCTCCACCGCCTGGTGCGAACGGCTTTCCACCGTCTATGGCGCCGGTAAGCCTGGCTTTGACGTTGTGTCCCGTGACATGCCAAATGAGCGCCACCCAGCTCTCGTCTCATTCTTGCCCTCCGCAGCCAACATCACAATTTCAGAACATGGGTCTCCAACCGCCTCGGCAACCAGGAGCTGCGCCCCCCATGATGGAGCCAGCCTCCATCCATGCCTGGCCAGCCTCCCATGATGAGCCAGCCTCCATCCATGCCTGGGCAGCAGCCCCCAATGATGGCTCGCCCCCCCACCTCAATGCCCGGACAACCTCCCATGATGGGCCAGCCTCCATCCATGCCTGGACAGCAACCCCCAATGGTGGCTCGCCCCCCAACCTCGATGCCCGGACAACCTCCCATGATGGGCCAGCCCCCATCCATGCCTGGGCAGCAGCCCCCAATGGGCATGCGCCCTCCCAGCATGTCCCAGCCCCCGACCATGCCTGGCCCTCCCAGCATGTCCCAGCCCCCCACCATGCCCGGTCCTCCCAGCATGTCCCAGCCCCCGACCATGCCCGGCCCTCCCAGCATGTCCCAGCCCCCGACCATGCCCGGCCCTCCCAGCATGTCCCAGCCCCCCACCATGCCCGGTCCTCCCAGCATGTCCCAGCCCCCGACCATGCCCGGTCCGCCCAGCATGTCCCAGCCCCCGACCATGCCTGGGCCCCCCGGCATGTCCCAGCCCCCTTCCATGCCCCCTGGCCCCCCTACCTCCATGTCGGGCCCCCCGACCGGCAACCGCCGTCGCCAGTATGCCTCTCAAGCTTTTGCTGATGCTGCCTCAGGTTTGTTTCTTGCTCTGCTTTGCCATTAGTACCGAGGGTCAGTGAGCCGGCGCCTTGCTGACACNCTTTTTCATGCACGCATCAATTGCAGCTCCGGCGATGAACGGCCAAGCCCCTAGTCCATCACCTGGCAATATACCACCTGGCCCGCCCGGTTCCATGCCTGGTGCTATGCCTGGTGCTATGCCTGGTGCTATGCCTGGCTCTGCTCCGCCAGGCACCATGCCACCGGGCGCCATGCCGCCAGGTGTACAGCCAGGCGCTGCTGCCAAGCCTCAACGACGTGGTGTGGATCCCGAGGCCGTGCCCTCTCCAGTCCAAGTGAAGGAGCAGGATCAGCAAACACACGCCAGTGGCATTTTTGTCACTGGCTCGCGCGCCAATCCGCCGCTCACCTCCACCAATGTGCGCATTGTGGATGAGGGAAACGCGAGCAGCCGCGCCGTGCGCGCCTCGCTCAATGCCGTGCCCTGCAACTCGGAACTGCTCAATACGTGCAAGGTGCCGCTTACCCTGAGCATCACACCTCTGGCCGACCCAGGCCCCGGAGAGCAACCCGTCCCCTTGGTCACCGCCAGCCCTGATGGCCCCATTCGCTGCCGGCGCTGCAAGGCTTATCTCAGCACTGCGGCCAAATTTATGGATGGCGGTCGCTCTTGGCGCTGCCTCTTTTGCAACACAAACAACAGCGTCCCGGACCATTACTTTTGCAACCTGGACCACCTTGGTCGCCGCCATGACCTGCAAGAGCGCCCCGAGCTTTTGCGAGGCACCATCGAGTATGCAGCCCCGGCTGCATATTGCGCGCGTCCACCGCAAGTGCCCGGTGTTCTCTTCCTCCTTGACGTGTCTTACACCGCGGTGCAGTCTGGCCAAGTATATGCCGCCTGCCAAGCTATTCGATCCACCATCCAAAGCCATAGCGAGTCAAACAGCCCGCTGCCCTACCGCGTACGTCCTGCCCCGGTGACCTTTGGCTTTCTCTTCGACCAACACGACGCACCCCCTGTTGCCATCTTGCCCGTGCATCTGCGTTTGATACACTCACCTGCTCGCCGCCTCACAGCTTGGCATCGTTACATTTGACCAAGCCATCCACTTTTACAACCTGAGCGCCGACCTCAGTCAGCCCCAGGTACGATAGGACCACATCCTTGCACCCTCCAACAAACCCAGCAGCTTCCCCTCGCCCCCGTGTTTTTTTCTTCAGGAACGGGCGCATTGTCCCGGGGCCTCGCCCTTGTTGAACTCTCTCCGCCACCTCAACCCTTATCGTACTCGCTCTCGCTTTCCAGATGATGGTTGTAACCGACGTAGATGACGTGTTTGCGCCCTTGGAAAAGGGCCTGGTTGTCGATGCCAAGACGAGTCGCGACGTCATTGACGCTCTGCTGGATCAGATCCCCCAGATGTTTGCCAGCACAAGGATCACCGGAACCGCATACGGCGCTGCAGTTCGTGCGGCTATCATTGCCCTCAAGAACACGGGTGGGCGTGTTCTCAGCTTTCTGGGCACCTTGCCCGAGCATGGCCCCGGCAAGCTGGTCAAGCGTGAGGACGCCTCGTTGCTCGGCACGGACAAGGAGAACAAACTTCTCGTTCCAGGCGATCGCTACTATGAGGATGTACGCTCATTGGCTCGGCTCTGTTGCTGTGCCACGCAATAACTCAGCAACTCAACCTGGCACTTGCATGCTTTAGGCGGCCAAGGATGCTGTGCGTTTTGGTGTCGCGTTTGATCTCTTCGTCTTCCCCAACGCCTATATGGATCTAGCTTCCATGGCTCCGTTAGCGACTGCCACCGGAGGTCTGATGCATCGCTACCCTTACTTCCGTGGGCAAACCATGACCGAGGAACTGGTTGCAGACGTGACCAGGGTCGCCATTGGCAGCTTTGGTGTCGAGGCCATGCTGCGCGTCCGGTTCGTCACGAGATGCCACACGCCGCCGCCGCTTGTTCATCCATGCACGGCTGGCAAACCTGGCCGTCGGCGGTCTATCTACAGGTTGATCCACCTCGACTCACTCATTGTTATGCACACCCCTTTGGCTCCGACAGGACAAGCACGGGTCTGCGCCCCGTTGAGTTTCATGGAGCCATGACAATGGAAAACAGTCAGGACGTTGAACTGGCCAATGTTGATGCGAAGCACAACATCACAGTTCGCATCAAGCATGATGACAAGATTGATGAAGGAAGTGAGGCTCACTTCCAGGTGGCACTCCTGTATACCACGCGCTTTGGCGAGCGTCGTATCCGGTGTGTCTGCTCGCCAACGCGATTCATCTGGGTGTCTTGCCTGTTACGTTTGTTACGTCAAGAGGGCAACGTGCTCTGTCCTCCGCCTGTGCGCGCCCAGTTCTCATCGGACCGTTTCTTCTGCAGTGTCCATACACTGTCTCTGCGCACAGCCAACAATTTGGCGGACATTTTCCGCTCAGCGGATATGGATAGCATCATCGTCGCCTTGCCCAAGGTGTGCCACTTCCTCCCGCGGCCATTGTCAGACCAAGACCCTGCAAAGCGTGGTCCTGCATTCACTGTCTGATGCCTCTGTAGATGGCTGTCACCGAGGTCACCAAGACACCGATGGAACAGCTGCGAAACAAGCTGACCTCTTCGGTGCGGTTTGGCTCGCCCTATTCGTGCGAGGAGCGCGAGCCCTTACTTCCCCGATGAGATGCACCCTTGCCCTAACTTTTCCCGGCCACATTTCGGGCGTGCAGGCCGTCAGCATTCTGGCCTGCTATCGCAAGCGCTGCACAAGCCCCAACACTGCAGCGGGCCAGCTCATTTTGCCAGAGTGCCTCAAGCTCATGCCCGTATACATGAACTGCGTCCTGCGCTCACCTGCCCTGCGTCGAGGTATGCCCGTTTAGTTGGTGTCATGTCCAAAAATCTCTGATGCATCGTGTTTCCCAGCCTTGACCTGTGGACCATGTTTCCCCAACGCCCGATTCGCACACATTGCAGGTGGTGACATGAGCTCAGATGAGCGCGTTTTCTGGCAGCACTTTGTGCGTGCGCTTCGACCCGAGGACCTGGTGCCCTTTTTCTACCCGCGTCTCTTTGAAGTCTCCACGAGCGAGCACAGCGAACCGAGTAGGTTGACGTGCGCTTGCTGTTGCAGCTGGCTGTTGATTGGCCTGACACCTTGATGCCCTCCTGCCTGGCCACCCGCAGAGGAGATTCGTTGCTCGCGCCGCTATTTCAAAAATGACAGTGTTTACGTGTTGGAAAACACACAGCGCATTTTCCTGTTCCTGGGTTCCCAGACCCCCGTCTCCTGGGTGCAAGCCGTACGTCTGCGCTTGGTGTTGTCATTATTGTGGAGCACAATCTGTGCCTGACGCTTGGCTTTGCGTCTCTCGCCAGGTTTTGGGTGTGGGTTCGGTGCAGGCCGTGTCCAGCCACACCCTGGAGTTGCCGCAAACAGCAGATGCGTTTAACATGTCTCTGCGCGAGTTCTTGCAGCGACTACGCAACGAACGCGGGCGTCACATGCCGGTATGCTTGCATGACAACACGCTTTCTTGCCCGTCGATTTGACCTACAGCCAAAACGTCCGCTGACTCGAATCGTGTTGTGTCTCAGCTAATTGTGGTCAAGGACAAGGATCCCAACGAGCTACAGTTCAACCGTCTGCTCGTGGAAGACAAGGTGAGTTGTCTTCGCCACCCCCGAGGCGTGCTGATTTAGGCCAGCTCATCATTGCTGTCGTTTTTCAATAGTTCAACGATGCCCAGTCGTATGTGGACTATTTGTGCCACATCCATCGGGAAATTCAGACAATGAATGCTTAGGTCCAGGCCAACGTCATGCTAATAGCCGGCTCAGCGCGCAAGAGCACGGAGCTCAAGTTGTGGCCACGTTCTCTCCCTGCAACCGCGTGCTTGTTTTGCATCCCTCCTCCCCGTCTCTCCGCGTGCGCTATGGGGAGGCGTGTGAGAATGCTGATTGAAAATTTTTGCAGTGTCACTCTTGAGCCTCTTTACACATTAATTCTTGGCATGTGAATCCATTCAAAGTGTCAATCGCTTTCTCTTCATTCTGCCCATTGCTCATTGAAGCAAGGTTAAGCGTTCTCTTACACATACGTCAGATACCTGCGTGGATTTCCAGAGAGCTGGGTGATGTCGAAAATGCCTGCACACCTTGGTCATCATCGGCCCGGGGCCTTGAGTAATACGATGACTATTTGTGGCTGGAAAAGCGGGGGTCTGACGTCATCACAGCGGCCATCGCAGACTGTTGCATCTGTGCCTGCATGGTGCGAAGGCCTTCCATGACAGCGGCCACACCCTCGGCCCCACCGAGGTCCTCTAAGCGCATTGCAAGATCCGAAGGCAGTGCAGTGACGACGGGCAGCAAGTCAGCCACCAAGGCCAGCCATTCTTGGGCTTGCGTGAGCACGTTTGCTCTACACATTTGAAAAGAAGGATCGAACATGACGAACAAAGCAGGGTGAGGGTCTATGAGGCACCGAAAAGCGGGCATTCCAGGTTTCCGCATACCCCGTGGAAGCATCATCGGAAGCAGACTTGCGGGTCACTTCGCGAATCAAGTCATCGTCATCGGCCGTTCGCGCTGCGCGGGGACCGGCGGCCGCCCACAAAGCGTCTTGGGCATCCCCTTGGCGCAGTCGGGTAAATTGCCCGTGCTCAAATTCGTCGTTTAGGGAGGAGAATTTTGCTGCTGGTACACCCGCTTGGTTGGCACGCTGCATCATGTTTTGGTCCTCTGTCAGAAGCAAAAGACAGCGACGGTCTGCTTGGTTGATGGCTTCGACATCTTCGCCGCATTCGTCGAGCACGCCACGAAGGATGGCACGGCGAAGGTGGAGCGCAACGTTGACAATCATTTCATCAGCGCGGTGCAAATGAAGGCTTTTCAGGGCGCCAGTCTGGATAATGTCCAGTTCGGCGTCTTCCTTTGAGAGCTCAAGTAGGATGTTGGCGGCCACGCATTGCTGGCGGAGACCATACTCGGCCAAAAACCCACGGATGGCCTGGTTTTCCAGCACTGAGAGCTTGGTGTTGCCCTTTTGAGCATCCAGCTCAATACCCACAGTGTGTGGTATGATCAGCAGTAGCTGGCCTTGGCAAGCCGCACGGTGCTGGAGAAGAGTTTCAAATGTGAAAAGATGATTGGGCCGGGCGTGACTACTCTTGGACTTTGCGGCGTGCAGGCCTAGACGCAGCATGCCAATAAGAGCGCTGGTGTCCAGAACAACATAAGTGGTCGCAGGGCTTGGGGTGGACTCGACGGGGCCCCTCGAGGCGCTGGCATCCTGATCATGTAGTGAGGTGGCAGCCAGGCGGTCAATCATGCTCTCCATGTGGTCATCCTCGGCTTGTTTGAGGTGGTCGTGCGTCACGCTGTCATCACTAATGCTGTTGTCGGCATTGGAGTGACGGTGCTTGGTCTGTTCGACGCCGTGTGCACTGTCCGCGCTGCCGTCGCTATCGCTGTCATCGCTGCTGTCACTGCTGTCGCTGTTATCGCTGTTGTCGCTGCCGTTGCTGTCCCGGGAGGCACCAACTTCAGCTCGAGGTTGGGTGCGGCCAGGCGCCTGACGCGGTGTGCTGACTTGGCTGGGGGCTTGTGAAAGGGGGCGGGGGCGGACCCGACGTTGTAGCACGAGATCGGCAAGGCCGCGAACTTGATGTTGCACAAAAGGTAGGTGCAGTGCAGGGATACCTCGACCACGGACCCCGCATTGCTTGACGGCGCATTGTTCGCGACTGGCAGGAATGCAGTAGCTGAGCTTCAGACGACGACAGGTACGTTGCACGGCGTCTGCGTCCAGGCGATTGCATTCCAAACTAAGTGTGCAGCACAAGCGATATGCACGTCGCAGCGGGAGACAGAGGGATTTGTGAGCAAAAGGAGCGTGCATGGCTGATTCGCTTGCCGCAGTGGATACATTTTGAGCGGTATGGTGTTGCAAAACAGCCAGCGGAGAATGAGTACCGGAGCCATAGAGGTGCAGGGGGTTTCTTGGAAGAAGCTTGGTAGGGATACCAATTGCGTTCTGCCAGGGCAGCCAGCAGGGCATCTGCGCGGGTAATGTTATTGTGACTGAGGTGAATTTCCCAAATGGGATGTGTTTGCTGTTGTATCAGGCGAATCACGGGCTGAAGGCCTGGTCCCCGAGTTGGCAGCAATGAAGTCGAAGAAGGGTAACGTGAACACGCGCCAGATCCAGGGTTACGGAGAGAAGCGCGTCACCCTGGTGCTGCTCCCAGTAGGCTAGGGCCCGATGAATCTGTTGGGCGGCCATGGCCATGGCTTCCACGGTGAGTTCGTCATGGCGGATGCTCTGGAGCTTGACGGGATATTCGTCGGGGCCCAAATAGAGCTTCTGGTGCACCCAGTCTGCTGCAAGGCGGACGGCGCGTTTGGGCTCGGACTTGTAGCGGGAAGTGAAATTGGACGAGGCCCCGTGACTGGGGCGCGGCGATGCAGAGTCGCCCGCCCTACAGGCATTAGCACACATGCACGGCCAAACGTAGAGCGTGAGGCCGATGGCCATGCAGAGTGACGAGGCCCAGGCGAGGGGACGAGGGTGCAACAAGACGGCCGCTGAGCCAAGCACATACAGGGCTTGACTTAGGCCGTACGCAATCTTGGCGCAGTTCACAGCCTTGCTCACCTGCTCCTCGCAGATGGAGGTACGGAGGGGGTGAGGCGAAAAGCATACGAGGTGTAAAGACAATCGAGGGAGTAACGCGAGCGGTGGGGGGGGGGGGGGGGGGACCAAAAAAAGCCATGAGACTGAAAAAGGCCTGTACAAACAAGCCTGGTGCTGGTCTCAAACCTTGAGGGTGAGCTTGCCATGATACACATCAAAGACCACATATGGGACAGCAGCAGGGAGAGCACTCTGGTCGGCGGCGGCTGGTGCCTGCCCAGATGAACCAGGCGTCCGAGCCAGCACGGACTGATGCTGATGATGACGGGGGGTCCGGGCGCTCTTGGGCGTGCCACCCCGGCTCCTGGGCGTCCCTGGGGCCATCTCCACAAAGTCACTGCGAGATCAACCTGGCCAGACCAATTGTTTCCCAGCCGGTTCAGGGTTGTATCAAGTATCGGGTTTGAATCCAGCCACAACCCCCGCTACACCAATCCGCCACGCCACACAAACACAAGGACAAGGACAAAGAAGCCGCTCGACGACGACGACGTTCGACGGCGTTAGACGGCGTTCGACGACTAGATGATCCAAAATATCAAAAAAAAAAATTAAAATTAAATTTTGATGCGTAAGCGATAGTGTGTAAGAGATCACACTGTTGTAAATGCTGACATTGACGCCCAGTGAAATGCGTGCGTGCAAGCAAGTTTGTGCGCGAGCGGGCTTTTGGGGGCTTGTGGGCTTGGGATGACTCTGGATACATACGCGTTGGGGGGTGCGGCAGGCTCGTGTGGTGGGAGTGGGAAACGCAGTCGAAGAATAAAGCAAGAAGGCCCGAATACCTGGAAGCAAAGTGTTTGGCTCAAGGACAGGGTCATGCCCATTCTTGCCCCATCCGAAAAGACCACACGCCGACAACGCCAGCTCGAAGATGGCACCGAGCCAACGCAGCGCGTGACGATACATTTCAGCGTGTGGGTCCAGCAAACGCAAGCTCAAGGCGTCACAGCTAATACACCTGCTGTTATTCGGGGTTGCGCCCCATGTTGGTATTTCAATCCTTTTTGACCTCTGTCCACGCAGCTGGTGCGTTTCACCTGTCAACCTTTCAACACCACAGCGCAACGTGAATGAGGCATCTGCGCTGAAATCTGATCACGTCACAACCGATACGCAGGCCTTGACAGCTGACATGCTGGCCCCTACCATGTGACGTGGGACGCACCACAAGCAAGGCAAACAAGTAGCGGAAGAAGATGAGAGAAGGTTCCACCATTCGAGACTTCGGCTGCACATGCGCAGCCACAGCCCAGCCCCGGCCCTGCTTGGCTTGAGGCGTAGGACCGGGGCTTGGCGCCAATACGCAGCACCATCCCCTGCGATACCCTTTCTCCCCAACCTGCCTACCCACACACTCGCGGACGAGCACTCTTCTCTTTCTCCGTGCACGCCTTCTCGCATGTGACCCCCACACCACGCAAGATCGGCCACGATGCGCACAATCCTCGCGGGGCCCTATCGCACATGGTATATGTCTGTAGTGTCCACAATCACCTTACGCCACAAACCTTCGTGACTGCATCCTGATAAGAGAGGCACCGGCCAGGGGGCCTGGTCTGTCGTGCATCATGCATGCCTGCAAAAGCTGAAAGCCATGAAGCTTCCCTTCCCACCCCACAAAGCTGCACGGCTGGAGCCGTCCGCCGCCACCACCAATACCACCAATATCACCACCAACTTCATCATCAACCCCATCATCTGCGTGTGTTGATGGCTGGACAACGGGTACAGAAAGGCGTGGACACGACAGCATCAGGGAACGAAAAGGAAAAACAGCAGCTTCAGATGCCCCGAGCTGCCCTCACCAAGGCAATCAAGAGGCGTGTCGTCCGCGAGGAAAGGGACGACAGCCGGTCACGAAACCTCGGGCAGCACAGTCATTTCAAAGGCACACATTGCCGCAGCAGCTGCATGCACGAAGAGGTGCATCGTCAGTCCAATTGCCGCGACCCGCCGTCCATCAACCTGTTCCCCACCACCACCGCCGCCACCTACTCCAACCCAGTTGGATATTGGGACGTTCCATCACCATCTTGTAGGGGAGCACAGCCGTCAGAGGATCATTTTCTCAGCTTTCCACACCACTACCACCACCACTTTTCTTGTTGCCCACCCCCCTTGGCTTCCCCTGGCCCCCACCATCACCTTGTCCCCGCTGCCCATGCCCGGCTTGCCACTTGTTGCCAGTCGTGTGACAATGCCTGCGTGGCCAGATAACTCTGAAGGACTGTCCACACAACCCTGGACCCATCCCCTCCGGCCTCGCTGTGCCAATTCACGGCCGTGAACCTCGGGACAGACGCTTGCCCGTGAACCCCCTTCCACCAAAGGTCTTAACAGCACAAGGTGCGGCGGGTGATTGAAACCAGCCCTCGCGTCGCCTTCGCCACCTCCTGCAAATCAAACACTGATAGCAGTCGGGTGCGACACCTGAAACAGGTGATTCTTCAGCCGTCACCATAACCAAAAGCCACACGCCCAAACCCTCGGTGTCTGCCGCCATTGGCATTGTGCCGAGTTGCCTGATCCAGCCCCCTTTTCCGTGGGCCCCGTTGCCTTTTGCTCGCCGTTCCTCGCGCCCCAGCCCCGGTCCTCCAGGCTTCACGAAACCGCCTTTTCCTCAAGACGCGGAGGACCGGACGCTCATTCGTGCGGGGTCGTGCATGAGTTGCCTGCCCCTGTCTGCCCTTTGCCCTCCGCCTCCCGTCCGCTCTTGAACATTCCACTACACCTTTCTGCCACCAGCCCAAACCATGGACCATAGTCACACCGCCGCCCTCACCCAGCCTGGGTGTGAGGCGGCGGTGACGCCACCGCAGGAAGCCGGCCCACTGCCTTTGCCACAACCGCAAGCGGAAAAAGATCTCACCGTGACCCCTACGATTCCAAGCCCAGCTCCACCCTCGGCCAGCACGACCACTTTAGTGCCACAAACCAGCTGGCCCGAATTCAGTGCTCCGCGCCCGTTGCCAGACTTGCAGTCGAGCGCACAGCAAGCACTTCAAGCCCAACACCAGCTCCAGCCCTCACTCGCCCAGAACCGCCGCGTAGTAGAACAACTTCAGCAACTACAGGCGCTACAACAGCAACAGCGTCATGTGCACGCCCCAACCTCCCCCGGCCCCCCATGGCCACACAACCAGCAGCTACAACACCTGCAGCACATGCGCCTGCTCCACGAGCAGCAGCTGCAACAACAACTACAACCGCCAGGACAACAACCGTGGCAACCCCTTGGTCCACCTCCTGCTGCTCGTGACAACCAGGCGCTACCCCTGTTGCCCTGGACTGCCCTTCTGGCCCGACCCTCGCCGTCACCTGCCTTGCATTCGCCCTTTGTCACGGCTCCGGGCGCAGGACTCACAACAAGCATGGGGCCAACCTTCTTCCCCCACCCTGATCAAGGTAAGCCTCAGGTCCTGGGCAGTTTTGCGCAAACCGTTTCATAGAACTCATCCTGCCTGGCTACTCCGACCACCGATCCGCCAGCTTTCCAAGCATGGATGGCCCGCACCCGTGAAGCCGAGCAACCCGTGCTGCTGCAGCAAACGCAAGGCCCCACCACCCCAGATCCTCGCCAACCAACATTCTACTATCCCCACAGTGACGTCAACCCGCCCATCCCGACAATGGTCAGGCTCGGTGACATTATCAAGCTTCTTAATTGCAGTGTACGTGCCGTGCCATGTCATATAACCTGAACCGGCTTTGTTTAGGGGGGGCGCAACGCCAGTCAAAACAGCACTGCTGACACCCGTCAACAGCGACAGCAGCAGCAACAACAACAACAACACGTATGATTGGCTTATTTTGAGCTCCCCCCCTTCTCCCCCCCACCGCACAGGCGCAAAAACTCCGCCAGACAGTGTGTAAACTGTTCTGCATAACCACCACCCTGCTGGCGTACGCCTAACCTGTTGCTTGAATTGATGGCAACTTGATTCTAGCTTGACGTAACCCATCCAGAAATGGGCCCAGGTGGTGATCCAATTTCGTCATCATCGACTGACCAGCTGCTGCTCAACTCAGACGGCAGACCAGGTACATCGCCCCTGGCCTCGAAGCAACTGACCATACCCGTCTTTGGCCCATCCATACCCTCCGCTCACCATAATGGACTACCACCGTGACACTCTGCCTATGCGCGTCATGGTTATATACGTTGGCCTTGATGGGGGTCCAGAGCGTGCAAGCTTTGCAACAACAGACTCCCTCAGCTCAGCCGGTGCAGAGTCTCAGTCCCAGACGACATATCACAAGATCCCACAAATGTCTGCCATGGACGTGCTGGGCTCTCGGAGCAGCGGTGGTACTGAGGATACAGGTCTGCCCGACACACCATTGACGTCACCGTCTGCAACTTTGACTGCCACTGCGGGTAAATGCAATCGGTCCCCTTTCAACCACTAACCTTTCAATCCGCTCTTCTACTCTATGGGAAACCTCTATATCCAGTGTTGCGCGTCGCTCTGTGCTCAGACCGGGACTCATGCTGCCATACCCTCAAATAGCAATCAGGGAGGAGCGCGGGCAAGGCTCAATTGCCAGCGACTCGGTAAGTTTTGCCACGCTTGCCGTTGACACGTTGCCACGCCACGGGCTGATGCTGCTTCTTATCGTTGTGTCTTTAATCAGCGTGATCGTGGTCTTCCGCCCAATTGGGAGTACCTCTGCGACTCGCCAGCGTAAGAACTTGCGTGCACGCGTGTGTTTGTGTCTCAATGATACACGTGTGGCTTTTTACCCTTGGCGCTGACATGGGCTCCACTTGCATTGGTTATCCAGACTGAGTCGGGAGGCGCAAGAACATCAGGTGGAAGAACGCAAGATTCGCAACCGCGTAAGCTTGGCTGGCCCTGTTTATTTCGCCTGTTGTGCCATGGCAAGCGACAGCGAGACAGTCTGCCTGCTTACCCCGATGGTTTGACAAAACTGATTGCGAACAGCGGGCGGCCGAACGCTATCGCCACAAGCAACGACGCGAAAAGGACTTGATGAAGGATAAGCTTTTGCAACAAGCCGAACAGGTGAATTTGCGAGCCTGCGTGTGGTCCACACCCGCCGTGTCAGCTCGCACATGTGTTCCCCGTGTGTCTCACGGCCGCATGCAGCTCCGCCGGGCCCAAGGGTACATTCAACAGCTTCAAGTGGAGAACCTTCAGCTGCGGACGGCTCTCATGACCCAGGCGGAGGGAGCGGGACCGTTGCTATCATCACCAACGACCACTGCAGGAAGCGGTCTGACGCCTTTGCCAAAGGTTGTTTCAAAATGTTCTGCCTCACGCCCCCAATGACGGGGCCAATCGAATTCCCCTTAGCTGAGCCCTGTGCGGTCGTGGTGAGGCCGAATATTGATCTGAATGAATCTTGCCAACTTGTGAGATCGATGGGTCTTTTTTTTATTCTTCCGTTCTTATTTCTGTTTCTTTTCGTTTTTATGTTGTCGGCTGGGACGATGACTGCCTGACTTTTGTGATCGATATGTGCCGCGCTGTTTGTGCCGTTCGTGGAACTCCAGTTGATATACCTGAGTACCATCTCTTTCGTTTTCGTAAACTGTATGCATACCCAATTAATGATGAACACCTACTAATGATGAACATCAACTGACTTTGTGTTAGCGAAAAGTTTGTGAAACATTGTCATGAACGCCACCCAAGTGTGAAGTCGGGTACATGGGTACCCTCTTAAAGACTGGGACAATCAAGACGCGCTCTGAAAAACAGCAGGACGCAAACTCCGACTGAGGGTGACTCGGTCGACGAGAGCGTGTGAAAATTGTGTCAAACGGTGCCTCGATTCGTCCACAAGACACCATTCACGTGCTTTAGATTCCAAGAACAAGAGGTTTAGGCCTTGACGGCGTACACCTTGCGAGCAAAGTGAGCATCGCGCTTCTGCTGGCGCACGGTCTTCTGAGCACGCTCATGCTTGGTCAAAGCACGACGCTGGGCGCGCGTCTGCGAACGAGAACAAAACATGCGAAGTGAGATGCCGGGCCTTTCAGTGAGAACAAGTTGCATTCCCATGATGTGAAACGCCATGATGGTGGCATGAGTGAGGAACAAAGGCCGCACCTTGCGGACGCGGAGGTCCAGAGGCACGTATTTGGCGCCCTTGTAGTGCTTCCTGAGCTCCTCACGGGTCTTGAGGTTGATCACGGTCTTGGCGACGGCAATGTTCTTGCGGAACACCTTGCTGCGCAGGGCCCAAGACGTACACATTCAGGAAACACATGGGGTCATGAGCCAGGGCCGGTCGCCGGTGCGAACAACAGGTTGGGCGCGAGGCTGGCGGAGCTTAGAAGTCGCTTGTATTGTTGATAAGACGTACATCTGAGAGATCTTGGAGGCAGTGCCGTTGGTGATCTGCTCAACACGGAGACCAGCGAGCTCCGCCTTGTACTCTTGGAGCTATCATCCATTCGACAAAAAAAACACAAACGGTCAAGGTGGATTTGATAATAGATGGGGACAGGATGGCAAGCAGCAAAAAAAAAAAAAAAAAAGCTGCTTCAGAAGCTCACCGTCTTCAGGAGGTCATCCTTGGAGAGCGCACGGAGCTTGTACGCCTTGGCGCGGCTAGAAGTCTATGTGTGACAGGCCCAGGGAAAAAAGTGAGGATGGCTTCGAGGCTCAAACAAAACTATCAATACCCAGAACGCTCAACACCGGGCGCACACCAACAAGTCACATCCCAGCCAACTCGGCGCTTGCTAACGAACACAATGAGAGACACACAGACACACGCACACAGACACAAGGTCTCTTCGCGGAAACGTGTGTGAAGCAGCCAACCCAAGAACAACCGTTGCCCGAGCGAGCCGGACGAGGGCAGGACCATAAACGGACGGCATTTCGCTTCAAAGACGGCGCATGAGGGCATCGCCATGTTGTAGGCACAGGGGCCGGGCAGGTGCGGGGCGGTTATGCCGTCTTGAGCGTCTCAAACAGCAACCACTCTCGCCCATGCACGCGCCCGACCCCATGCTCCAACAACTTGAGAGAGGGTTCACATGCCGCAGTCACACCATCTGCAAAGCTATCCAACGCAAGTCGGCGCTGCCCCTTCATGGTCCACAACCCATCCAACAAGGCGCTCCACCCAAACACATGACACACACACACACACACACACACACACACACACACACACACACACATGCACGCGCACATCCTGCCCCAGAGCTCGTTGGCGCTGCCATTTAGAGGAACAAGTTTGAATGCATGTCTTGAGACCGAGAACGTGTTCTCACCTCCGCCATCTTGTCTTTGGCACGATGATAGAAAAGGCTATTGGTGGACTCTGATTTTCCGCGTGTATCTGATTCAAATTGTTGCTCTCAAGCGTGTTAGACATTCACGGCTTGGACACGTGTTGCAGTTTTTCCCGCCAACACACAAATCATGCTACCAACTGTTAGTACGGCTGTGCGTGTGTGTGTCTTCTCTCTCTCTCTCTCTCTCTCTCTCTCTCTCTCTCTCTCTCTCTCTCTCTCTCTCTCTCTCTCTCTCTCTCTTTCTCTCTCTCTCTCTCTCTCTCTCTTTCTCTCTCTCTCTCTCTCTCTCTCTCTCTCTCTGTAACGGTCAAGCCGTCGTTACACCTTGACACACACTACAAGAAACCTTGTTGTGGCCGTTTTGGCGCTGGCGCCGGTGCACGGTGTGACAGTTGGTAACAAGGGTCTCAGCTTTTGGCGCCGAACCAGAGACGAGAGCACTTTGCGCGAGGTGTCTTGGCCTTTGACTTTGCCACTGCATCGCTCAGCTGCTTTCCGAGCCTTTCAGTGCTTGGCTCTGCAGCCTGGTTCTTCTCCGCTAGCGCTTGTCCTTCTCCTTCGTCGTCCACCTCTGCCCTGAGCACCTGGCATCTCTCCTTTTATCAGTTGGATCTTTGATCCCAGCCATGGCCCCGGCTGCGAGTCGCCGTCGTCGTCGTCGGGCACCGGCTGCCCCGCCCAAGCCCGAGTACAAGGTCATTGGCCGTGGCCGTCGATCGCGTTCTGGTGCACATGCCTTTGATGGCTTTGAGGTGGGCGCTTGACTTGGTACCTGCATGGATTTCACCACGCGCCTCGATGCGCGCCCTTGCTTCTCTTATCTCAGCTCACACGATGGGTGCTCGTGCGTGACATGATGATGCCATCCAGATTGAGGACACGCGCTTTCTCTGCGGTGAGTACGCCCTGGTCAAGAGCAACCTGGAAGACTCGCCATACATTGTGGCCATTGAACGCGTCCTAGGCTCGGCCCGCGGCCAGGATCTTCAGGTGGAGGTGCGCTGGTTCTATCGTCCCGAGGACGTGCGCGCCGTCCTCAAGCGCACCAAGCTGAACGTCCTACCCAACGAGCTCTTCGACTCGGAATATCGTCAAATAATCGACCCAGAGACCATTGATGGTCCCGCCATCATCAAATACACTGCAGCTGGTGCGTGCCCCCAACAAACGGCCTCACTCGTTTCAAGACCGGGCTGCTTAGCCGCCGTGGATCGCCAGACTTGCACATCCAACCTCCATGGGCCCACCGACCCTTCCTCAGCCTCGTACGCCTTGATTTCTTTTTTTTTTCTGACTCCACCCTTAGATGCGTCCACGACAAACCAGCGTCGTACTTTTGCCGGCCGTGGAGACACGGCCAGCGATGACGAAGAAAGCGATGATGAGCAAACCATCCCCGTGTTCATCTGCCGCCATAAGCTCCTCTGTGATAACCACTACAACGAACCGCTTCAAAACCCCCGCCTCCAACGCTACACCCTCTCTCTGTACGCCCATGTTGGAACCCATCGCTGAAACTTGACGACCATGCTGTGTCACACCGCAATCTCACCACCACGCCCCATCTGTCTAGACTACGCCGCCAGTCACAGCTCGCCCAACTCGACAGCTCGGGCGCCACCGAGAGGAAAAACGCTGCTGCAGACTCGGAAGGCGACGAAGATGATGAGGATCACCATTTGTCGGCCGAAGAGAGCGATGCTGTGCTATCTGCCGCCGACTCGGAGGACAGTGATGCCGATGTACCCACGCCCCGCAAAAAGATTGCCAAGCGGATAGCTGGCACACCCAAGAAAACTCAGACCCCGCAGACCGCAGACCGCAGCCAGCCCCGACGTCGGGGCCGCCCACCAGCACAACGCAGAACCTCATCCGCAACTGGAGACAGCAGCCCCTCAACCCCGGCTAAGCGTCGCGCCTCGACCACGCGTGGCCGTAATCGCCGCCTGACGCTGCGCGTCCAGGATACGGCCAGTGCTGAGCCAGCCGACGCTAGCGCCTCGAGTGCTGCTTGTCGCGCCCTGGCTCTAAACAACCTCCCCACAACCAACGAAGCCCTGCCCTGTCGCGAGATCGAGTTTTACGAAATTTACACCTTTGTTCAAGAAAAATTGCACGCCAAGGCCTCGGGCTGTCTATTCGTCAGCGGCGTCCCTGGAACGGGTAGGTCTGCCGTTCAAATGCCCTCAACCCATCACGTGCCTCGGCAGCTGAATGATGCCAGTTTTATCGTGTAACCCGCTGCCGCTATGCTTGCATCGGTGCACGTGCAGGCAAAACTGCGACCATTCGGGCTGTTTCTCGCTTACTCATGGCCGAGCGCGAGGCCGGTCATTTGCAGCCTTTTCAAGTAAGCAGCACCACAAGAGCTCTTTGGCACTATCACAAAGCACTTGGTATGAGCTTCTCAACAACGCTTGCCTCGCCACAGTTTCTGGAAATCAACGCCATGTCACTGACTAGCCCGGCGCAAGCATATGTCGAACTGTACCAGAAGCTGGGCCACCACGAGGTGCGGGAACCAGCCTCGCCCGTTCTACCTTGATTGTGAGCAGTTGTTTCCACTGCTTTGCATCGCCAGCTAACCAGCAGCACGAACGCTCGCACCTTGCCCACCTACTAGGACCGCGTGGTGGCACCTGCACATGCCTGTCAAATGCTGCAGCGTCACTTCACGCTCCCTGCCCCCAACAAGACCACCTACGTTGTACTGCTCGATGAAGTAGACTACCTCTACACCAAGAAACAGGATGTACGTACCGGTCCCGGACACGTCGAGGGACACAAGGGTCTGCACCAAATGCTGCCGGTTTTCTTACGCACCGTCTCCCCTACGCTCTATGCGCTGGTGCTTGCTACCTGGCCAGGTGTTGTATAGTCTTTTTGACTGGCCAACCCACAAGCATAGCCGCCTCATTCTGGTTGCCGTGGCCAACACCATGGATCTTCCTGAACGGTGCGTCGACTGCGCGCAGCCTGCTTCTAGTTCACGGCCCATACATTCTCACCCCAACGTACTGCTTCTGTCGTCCTATGCTGAGCAGTGTGATGGCACACCGCGTCTCGTCGCGTCTGGGCTTGAGCCGCCTGAGTTTTGCGCCATATACCCGAGAACAGCTGGTGCAGATTCTCAAGCAGCGTGTGGCTGGTGCGATTACTCTTCCACGTCACCTCCATGGCAGGGGACGAATATCACGGGATGCTCATTGGTTGTGACTGTGTCTGCAGAGGTTGCGGCCTTTGAGGAGCCTGCGCTGGAGCTGGCGGCTCGCAAGGTGGCTGCTGTGTCAGGCGATGCCCGCCGGTACGACCTTGGTTGTTTGGAGCGTAGCCAGGGCGGGCTTGCCCGCCTCCTTGTGTGCTGATCAGCAGACTTGCCAAGCTCACCCTTGCATCTGCGTTTGTCTCAAACCCCATTTTCAGTGCACTCGGCATCTGCACGCGCGCAGCCGAGATGGCCAAGGAGCGCGGCGCTGAGAAGGTTGGCTGGCGTCTCTCACTCGATCCCATGCACTCCTGCTCGACAGTTGTATCATGATGCTATGATTGGCAAATGGCATCCAATTTACTGACATGTGCATTGGCGGGGGGTAGATCAACATTATGTGCGTTTCGGATGCATTGGTGGAGCTCTCGGCCTCGCCAATTTTAAATGCCATTCAACAAGCCTCGGTCTATGAGAAGGTGTCCTTGCTGGCGGCTTTGATCTGCTTTCATCGTACGTACCGGATGTGATGCGCCGCTGCGCTATGGGGGTTTCTTGTCTTGCACCTGAAGACGGTCGTTCCACGTCGCCCCTTCTCATGGCGCCTTGTGTGTCGGGACCTGGGGCTTGCTACCAGAGCGCGGCATTGAGGAGGCGGACTTTGCAGACGTGCTTCTACAACATACCAAGTTGTGCAACCGCTTTGGCATGATTCCGGCCTCATCGTCGGTGGTTGCAGCCGTGTGCAGCAACCTGGGGGCTAGTCGCGTGCTGATGTTGGAGCATGGCCGTTACGATATGCAGCGACGGGCTCGCCTGAACTGTAGCAAGGATGATGTGCTCTTTGCACTTCGGGATGACCCCATGACGCAGGCCGTGGTACAGCTGCTGGAGGCAGCCACCACGACTCGCAACGCCGCCCCAACCGTGCCTCAGTTTGACCCCGAGGATAACGGTGACATGTAGGCCGGATCACTGTCCCGACGCACCCCTACACTTTGCTTGCTCTGCCGAGTGGGGCGGGTGCCAGATTGTCGAATTTGAATTTGAATGTTGCTCCTGTGTGCCGTGGTGCTCGCGTTTGCTGGGTTTTGAATGACATGAATCGATAGAGTCGAACCGACGGCCCTTTCTGCCATGAGACTGGCTGGCAAGTAAATCGGGCCGCCTACTCCCGCAACTAAAACAAGAGAGGCAACGATTCTCAAGTGTTTATGGGGGTCTGTGTATAAAATTTCGACTTGTGCGCTTTGCAAATGCACTGCTTTAGGGACGGCTAGGGCTCATCTTATCGCGATGCTTTGGGGTTTGTTTATAATCGATGTGATGCCTTGGGAAGAGGGCGGGGGGGGAGAAGGATTTCTCTTCCCACCAATTCAAGCTCTGCTCCACTGCATAGCCCGGTGCAATCACGAGCGTACCCCCTGCCCTCGACCACCCAAAGTCACTGGCAAAAGGACCAGAAAATTAGATCGAAATTCAAGGAAAAAGAGAAAGAGGAAGAGAAGAAAGAGAAAGAGAAAGAGAAACAGAGAGAAAGAGAAAGAGAAAGAGAAAGAGAAAGAGAAAAAGAAAGATTAAGAGAGAGAAAGGGAGGCACGATATAAATTACCACACGTAATAAGAGAGAGAAAGGGAGGGACAGTCGCGGTGTGTGTATGTGTGTGTGTGTGTGTGTACAGTGATGACGTTTGATTTTCCTTCTGCTGGATCTTCGCACGTGAACCGTCAAGAGAGAGAGAGAGTGAGGGAGAGAGAGAGAGAGGGAGAGGGAGGGAGAGGGGGTCAGTGGGGGGCTGGAGGGTGGAGGTGCGGGCTGGCTGATGTCAATGCAGGCCTTGGACTCATGTTATGTGTGTGTGTGTGTGCTTGGGGTGGGGTGGGGTGTAGAGTGACGATCGTGCAGGATGTCGAAGTTTGTGGTGGGCGCTGCCTTGGTGGCAGCTGTCGCCGTTGTCGCCGCTGCCATCCCGGCTAAGGAGTACAATATCCGCGAGGGCGAGGCGCTGATTGTCAACACCTCCCAGGGCACGCTTCTCGGTCGCCGCTACAACGATGTGGTGTGTTGCTTCGAACCAGATCTTTCAGCAGAGGCTGGGGGCGGAGTGACAGCGTTTTGTGGCGTTGCCTCTCTCTCTCTCTCTCTCTCTCTCTCTCTTGATCTCCTTGATCCCTCCCTCTTGGTCGCTGTGCGTTTTGGAACTCTCCGCCTGTGCTCACAGCAACATGGCGGTTGGGATCGGTTGATTTCGGGCGTAGGATCACTTCCTTGGCATTCCCTTTGGTCTCCCGCCTGGTCAGTGCCAACGCTCCTCGACGCAGCATCTCATGTTGTCTTTTGTTCTTCGCGCCGCCCAGCTCCCATCTCTTTCGCCCTCGTTGCGCTCGTCGCCTTGGTCTCCTTCTTCACCCCTCATGTGTCTGGATTCACAAATCGTATTGCTGATGGCAGTGGGCGAGCGTCGCTTTCGTCGTCCCGAGCCGGCCGCTGCTTGGGAGGGTGTGCGCTCCGCCGAGGAGTTTGGCCCCAATTGCATGACCAAGATCAGCTCTGATTATGTCAAGGGGTATGTCAACTTAGCCGCGTGTTGGCGCGGATAACTCGTGTCTGTTTTGGGACCATCGTCGCACGCCGCCGGCCTCTTACGCCAACCCTTGCCATCTAGCAACATCTCCGAGGACTGCCTGTATCTCAACGTCTACCGCCCCGTCAACGCCACCGGCGATGCCAAGCTTCCCGTCATGATCTGGCTCTTTGGTGGCTCCTGGGAATGGGGTGGCAGCTCCTTCTTTCTCTACCAGGGTCGTGGCATTGTCAACTACGGCAATGTCGTCCTCGTTACCATCAACTACCGTCTGGCCATGTTCGGCTTTGTAGCCCACCCCAGCCTGCAAGCCGAGGACGAGCACAACAGCACCGGTAACTACGGTGTGCAAGACCAGCGCCTGGCCTTTGAGTGGGTTCAGCAGAACATTGCGGCGTTTGGCGGTGACCCCGACAACGTCATGCTCTTTGGCCAAAGTGCCGGTGCCGGCTCCGTTTCCTTCCACACAGTGGCACCAGCCAGCAATGGCCTCTTTCACAAGGCCACCATGGAGTCGGGCCCACCCTCGGACTGGGTCTCGCGCAACCTCTCCGACGTCATTGCCCACACCAACCGCATTGCCGACGCCGTCAACTGCAGCGGCCTCGAGGGCGAATCATGGACCAGCTGCATGCGGAACGTGCCAGCCGATGTCCTCACCCTGCATCCAGAGAACACCCCCAACCTGTCTCTCAACTGGTTCCCCGTGGTGGACGGCGTCGAGTTGACCGACTTTGTCCCCAACCTCTGGAAGCGCAACATGACCAACGACGTCTCGGCCATGCTCTTCGGCGTCGTTCAAGACGAGGGCACCGAGTTTATGGAGTTTATCAAGCCCGATGATACCTGTGACGACTACGTCACTTGGCTCAAGACGCGCTGGGGTGGCAGCCTCCTTGATGACGTCAACAAGACCTATCCTTGCGACTTGGACACGACCCCTTTCTTCACAGCCGCTCGTGCATACGGCGATGCCCTCATGGGATGCCCCGCTCGTCGCACCGCTACTTGGGCGTCGTCTCGCGGCATTCCCGTCTACCTGTACCACTTTACCCACCAACCGTTTTTGTTCAAAGTCGCCGAACCGCAGTACCGTGTTGGTCACTCGAGGTAGGTCTTTTCCTTTTCGTGAGCCCTTTGCGGGTTTTGAGGAAGCGCCCATCATCTAGCTCGTCATCAACAGCAGCGTTGCTCGGAATATGTTTGGTTTGTTTCCGTCCGAGGTTCATCTTTTGCGGCTTGCCTCGTGCTTCTTCTAGTGACGTGCCTTTTGTCTGGCATGACTCTGAAGTCTTGCTGGGCGAGGGTGAGGTGGCTCTGGCCGACCAGGTCGTCTCCTACTGGACCAACTTTGCCGCTACTTCCAACCCCAACAAGGGTCAGTGCGCATGATCTTGGGCCTGTTATTTATTTGCTTCGAGGACAAGCTTCCCAAGGCGAGATTGTTTTGCGACAAGGCTTCATTTGCTCATCGCTTGTCGAATTGCAGTGGGCTCGAACAACCCCAACGGCATCGTGCCAGCCGTGGAATGGGTCCCCTTTTCGCCTTCGGGCAACCACAACTTCCTGAACCTGGTTTGTACCTGATTGCAACTGGGATAGGTTTTCAGGGCATATCAACGAGTGTTTACTATCATGTTCCGACAGCTCAATGCAGCCCATCTTCACTTTGGTGATCTTTGTTGTCTTGATGTTTGCCTCATGTAGAACCTGACTACAGCCATGGAAACTGACTTTATCGGCTCGGTCTACTGCGATATGTGGGATCAGTACTTCTTCTCTGGCTGCTATGTCAACGGCAGCAAGACGTCATGCTAAAGTAGCATGCACACATTTTTTTTTGGTTTGATCGAGTGGTTTGGAAAATAAGACTGTTTGCTAATGATCCTTTAGTGATTTGGTGTTTGGGACTCAACGACGGCGTGGCGTCTCAACTCCCTTTGGTACCCCTCCCTACCTTTCATTGTTTTTCCGTTTGGTGGAAGGTGAATTCATGTTTCCGCCGTGTCGCATGTTTGCACGGCCGTGCTTTTGGGTTGCAATTGATCCACCACTTGGACTTGCAAAGACCAGCCACAGCGAGCGCCGCTTCGAAGAGAAAAAACAAAACAAAACAAAACAAAAAAAAAAAAAAAATGAAGCAAACACGGGGCGCGTGGCTTACATCGATGGAGGCGAAACCCGATGCCGGTTGACTACATCACATAAAAAAAAACACGACGACTTCTAAGCTAACTAATACTACACAAGACGCTTGCACGTGTCACAAAGGCGGCTGTTGGGGCGGCTAGATGCGCCGAAGAATAATGCCATCCATGGCGGCAAGTCGCACAGTATCGGTGGGTTGGCCATTATTGTATCGGGAAGCGGATTGCACAAGAATGGCGTCAGCCACGCAAGCCCGGCCTTGGTCGTCGCGACAGGTCAGATGTACGGTGGTGCCCGGCGCGAGGGACAGGTTGGTGGCAATGGCGTGCCACGTGTCGCCGTTGCTGCGTTGGTCCAGAGTTGCTTGGCTAACCACCGTGCCATCCCGATCGCGAACCTCAAAGGAGGCGTTGGCAGACCATTCGCTGTCGGCCTTGGGTAATGCGGGCCACCAGGTTGACACGTTGTAGACATCCTTATCCAGAATGCCAAGGTCCCAACTGCTGGTGGCGCCCGGAGTTTGGGACAGGCGGCAGGAGGAGGCCCACTGGTGGAAGTAAGGGCCCGAGTTGACCTCGTCGGTGGGGTGAGCCAGGCTGTAGCCACCCTCGATGGAGGCCTGGGACCAGGTGGTGTTGTCGGCACTAAAGCTGGGCGATGCGTCGTCAACAATGTATTGCCAGCGGGGGGCTTGCTCACCCTCGATGTGAGCAAAGCCGCTCCCGACGCTGATGTTGTGGGCGGAATTGTCACCGTTGAGCAGGACCACGCCATTTTCAAAGTCACGACGAAGAACGGGGGCAGAGGCAGGATAGGCGACAACTGAGCCAATGGTAGTGGTGCCGGCACACTGGCCCAGGTAAAAGGAGAGGCGAGCACGGGGGTCGGTGGCAGTGGCAGTAAAGATGCGGTTGAAGGTGGACCAAGTTGCGTCGATCCAAACGGGGGAGTCAAGGCCGTAGGCAGACCAGTGCCCGCCGTTCTGACGGGCATTGAGTTCGAGTGAGCAGTTGGGACTGGTGGTGCGGGCAGCAAAGCTGATGTTGTACCGGAGTCCGGCGGTGATGTTGAAGGTATTGCTGTAAAAGTCGGCCTTGCTGTTGCTGGGAAGGACCTGAGTGACGGTGGCGGAGGCGTTGCACTGAGCGTTGGGGCCGGCACAGTCCCATTGCAGGCTAATGTTGCCTGGGGTGGAGCTCCAAAAGCTCCAAGCGGATTTGTTCATGGGGAAGGCTTGGATGGGCTGGTTGGCAGGGGCGGGAAGAGCAGGTAGGACAGGGGCCAGAGGTTCACCGAGAGCAAAACCCATCTCATCATACCACCAATCCTGGCCGTGGCTGCTGTCGCCAATTTCGTGAGTAAAGTAGCCATCGTACATGAGGACAAAGGCCAGTCCAAAGCGCATGTATGAGTAGTAGTGACGGGCAAAGCTGAGGGTGCTGGCGGGGATGGAGCCGGCGAGGATTTGAGAGTCAAAGCCGTAGCCGTAGCCGATCTGGAGCTGAATGGCGCTCTCCATGACGGTGATGTGGGGTTGGTGAGGCACGTCGAACCAGTCGGCGTAGGCTTGCAGGGCGCCGTCAAAGTCATCGAGGCCCTCGATGATACTGGGAAGGGTAAAGCCGATATTGCGAGCGTTGAAGATGGCACGCAGGGTGGGATCGTGGGGGTCGGTGGAGTGGCCAGACATGACGGCACCGGGCATGAGTTGGCGAAAGGTGGTGAGTTCGAGCGTGACACCGGCCCGCCAGAGGCGATCAAACTCGGCCGCAAACATCGGTTGACCAGTGCCATCTGGATCGGGGTAGAAGGGATTGCCGTTGACGTCTGTTTTTTGCCAGCTCTGAGTCATGTAGACATTGTCAACAAAGATGCCGTCGTAGGGGAGGGCTGGGGCGGAGGCGTTGGAGCCACCAAAGACGAGACTGTACATGTGTTGGGCTTTGTAGAGCGCGACCTCGGGTTTGGTCAGGTCGAGGCGATAAGAGCCGGGCCATGTGGAGAGCCGGTCCTTCTTGCTTTGGCCCGAGACGTTGTGGAGGTAGTAGCGTTCGGGGAGGCCATCATGGCCCTCGACGGCGTTGGTGCTGGTCAGAAGGAGGGTCTGATCATTGTAGCGTCGGAGCTGCAGCATTTGGTCGGGCGTAAAGTCGGCACCGAGCCAGAGGGAGACGTGGCTGGCAGCGTGGGAAAGGTTGTGCTGAAAATGGCCAGAGCCCCAGAGGTTGGCCACCTTGGGAAAGTTGTTATTGATGGAGGGAACGGGGCGGTAGACGCGGGCGATCCAATCGGCGTCCTCGTCGGCATCAGGGGGTTGGCAGCGGATGGCCAGCAGGGTTGTGTTGCCATCCTGGCGCAAACTGAGCTGAAGCGTGGCATTGCCATGGTCGTACGCGGTGAAGTTGTTCATCTCGGCAAAGGCAGGCGGGGGCACGGTCAGCGCCCACCGACAGCGGGCGTCGGTCTCCTCCGCACGCACGGTAATGGCGATCGCTGCGGTACCCGCCGGCAAGACGGTTGAATTGGGCCACACATCAATCCCTGGTGCCGCCCCCACCGCCCTCGCCCGAACCCCCATCCCCATCATCATCATGAGCAGCATCATCCGCATCAACAACCCCGCCCTTACCGCCGACGGCACTGCCATTGCTCTCGGTTTGACTTGACATGCAAAACAGCAACACACTCGTCAACAAAATGTTTCTCTCCTTGCTTTTTGCTTGGACGAGAGAGAGAGATTTACATGTTAGATATATATGATTAAAACATCAACAAAGGCATGTGACCTATCTCTCAATACAATTCAAGCAGCTGCATTTGGATGGCAAATCCGGCCAATCCGGTGTCTGCGTGAATGCCCTGCCCTTGGATGAGGCTGACAGCCGATGGACGTGGGCTGATAAAAAGCAAGCACACGCGTGCACACAAAACTGGTCCAAATTAACCAAACCCCCTCGCCCAGATGCACAATCAGATGAACGCGCGGCGTAAAAAATGTGTACACGGATATGCTTGATGTGCTTGAGCTGGGGAGCCATGCCAAGACGTAAACCAAGTACAGACACGCGTTCATACAGGATCGAGCAAGAACCGCATGCCAAAGCGACCGCCCATTCACGCCACATTATTCTACCGCTGCCATTCAGATACCATTGCATCAGGCCCATCGCTCCACGTTGTAGTAGAGGAGCTGTTGTCCCTCGCGCAACGCGGCAACGAGCTCGAGGACACCATCGCCGTCCAGGTCCGCGGCCATGACATCTCGCACGCCATCGGCAGCCGCGTCAATCACAACTTCGGTAAAGGTGCCATTACCCAGGTTGCGGTACCAGGAGAGCTGGTCGCCATAGGTGCTGGCCCCCAACAAATCCAAATCGCCATCATTGTCCACATCCCAAGCCCTCACAGCATTGGTCCCAAAGGCCGCGGTCGGGATGCGTTGTGCCATATCAAAGGTGCCTTGGCCCAGGTTGCGGTACCATAAAATATAACGCGTGTAGGCACAGCCCACGACAATGTCTGGCAAGCCATCCGAGTCCAGGTCGCCCACGAGGGCAGAAATAGCACCATAGGCACCGTCCCCCAATATATGGGAGCTAAAGCTGGGTGGCGTCGAGGTGCCCAGGCGGTGGTTGGTGTACCAACTCACTGTGCCGTTGTAAAAGTTGGCACTTATGAGGTCTTGATCACCGTCGCCATCGAGATCAGCCGCCTGGACTGCCCACGGCCCACCCGCTGTGTTGCTCACAATTAGGCCAGCCGAAAAGCCTTGGCCCGAGTCAATATCGTTGCGGTACCAAGCAATCGTATTGTCATGGACGCTGGCACTCACAACGTCGAGGTCGCCGTCGCCATCCAGGTCGACGGGCTCGGCACTCACCACGAATTCAGCAGAAGTGGTGATGATATGGCGCTCAAAAGTGCGATTGACGGGGTCCTGCTCAAACCAAGCCACCGTGTCATCAAGACGGCTGGCAGTCAGCACATCCAGATCACCATCGCCATCCAAGTCAGCGCTGCGAATGTAGGCGGCCCCGAGTGATGTGTTGCTCAAGACCACCAAATTGCGCGTCGTCATGTCAGACTCGAGCACCAAGTCCAGAAACTCGCCCGTTTCCGGGCATGCCATCAAAACGCTCCACACATCCCGGCCAGCAAAGAGGCGCGTAACTTCAAGCGAGAGAATGCGCCGAGTAGCGGATTCCAGCAGCGGTCTCGGTGCCGCCACAACAAAGCGCTGGTTTTGAAGCGCATCAAGCCGAGTCTCCAGGTCAGACAGCCGAGCCATAATGTCGATTCCATTGACGAGAATCTTGGTCGCAGCACCTCCTTCAGTCGCTTGACCCGCCAGGATGTGAATGCTGCCCTCATCATCCATCTCGATCGTGGCCTCTGGCACCAGGGAGTGAATTGCAAAATAGACCTGTGAGACGAAGCGAGCTTCCTTCACGCACAGGCACAAGCTTTGGGTCCATAACAACAAGGAACCTTCATACCGGAAGGCATGCTGCCAGAGCGGGCCATCATATCTTGCTCATGCAGACAGCCATCAAAGCACGGGCCACTCGCCGCCGAGCTCAGCGTCCAGCAAGCCGAGCAGTCAGCACTAAAGTTGCATCCTCGTCGGCAGCCCACGTTTTCATCAAGCTGAATGTAATGCTCCTGACAAAAACCTGCAGTGCAGGCGCTCGACTGTGCCCAGCACCCCACCTGACCTCCCACCAGCAGCAGCCAGATCCCTACCACACCAGCCGCACCGCCAAGGCCGAGTCGAGTCATGGCGCACGATCGCGTGTGTGTGTGTGTGTGTGTGTGTGTGTTAACGAGTTCGAACGTAAGCGCCAGTATGCGAAAATAGTGACGGACAAGCACTCCGCATTTGTCATCTTTTTAATTATATACTCAGTTTTACAAGCACATGAAGATGTGATAGGTAGCTCAAGCATAGTTTGTGAATGAGGTATATGAGATGTTGAAGATTTGTCGTAACTTCTCTTCTCTATTCAATTTCTCCAGGTGTAAAAGATCTCTGATTCTCCTCTGTTGTTCAAAGCGAACACCTTCTACTTTGCTCCAACTCTCTGAATTTTTCTCTCTCTGTTTCTCCCTCTGTCGTCTCTTGCTGTCTCTGTGCCACGCTCTTGGAAAGTCTCTGAATTGCCCTTTAATTTTACACGCGCGTGTATCAAGCCCACAACACCCTCTCTGCGCTCTGCTCGTCTTCAGTCTCTCTCTCTCTCTCTCTCTCTCTCTCTCTCTCTCTCTCTCTCTCTCTCTCTCTGTGTGTGTGTGTGTGCAATGGCAGAGGGTGATGGCAGTGCTGCGACGGCGGCGGCGGCGGCGACCACGGGCGGCGCAAAGCGCAAGTACTTCTTTCGAAAGCCACGGAGCAAGTCGGTACGTTCTTTTACTTTGAATTGTGGTCCAGGGTGGGCAGGGAGAGGAAACAGGTGCACGGTGCACGGTGCTGTTCCATCACTGACCGCCAGCGTCGGTTGCAAACGTAAGCCTGCCCCTGCGCACGCCGAGGAAAAGGCCGCGACACGCGCAGCCCCGGCGGTAGCCACAGGTTCACCGGCAGCTGGGCAAGCAGCTGCTTCTACGACGGCTTCCAAAGGCAAGAAGAAAGCACAACCAGAGTCGGCTCTGGCCACAGCCATGGTGGCTGCCGCTGCTGTCGCCACCGTCGCCGCCGCTGGGCCCCCAGCCAGTGCCAACGTCCCAGACGACGACCCTGCCACCCCACGCGACAATCGACGGCTTCAACGTAGGCAGCAGTGCTTTCTTTGGTTTGCTTCAAGGTCATTTTTCTTTTCTTCTTTCTGTTGTTCTGATCGATTTTTCGCGCCAGCACCTCATCTGAACGTTCCGGTACCCGTATCTCCACCAATCAAACGCGCTGCCGAGGTGCAGGCGGTAATCTTCGAGCCATGTCCTTTGTCCGGTACGACCATGCCCTCAAGCTGGGCATGAGGGTCCCTGCACTGACCTTCTGAACCCGACCGCTACGGCTCCTCGCCCTGTCCCTCGCCCAGTCGCTTGCCCCACCACTCATATGCGCGGGCCTGCACCCATTTAGATCCCCCGAACGAGACCACTCCTTCTCCATCGACTTGCCCCTCTCCATGCCCTGCGCTGCCAAGTGCGGCTACACGGGGAATCCCGGTAAGTCTCCACACGTTTTATCGTCGCTCAGATGTGCGTGATCAGCAAATGAGGCTTCGTATCTCTTTCGACTTTTTTTGCTGCCTCAGCTCGCGAACCACCTCACTGTGGGGGCACGCCCTGGCCAACACTCCAGATCAAATGGGTCTCTGCTCCAAATGCTTCAAAGACCTTCGGACTCGAACACCCGCCGTCTCAGGTTACCCATCTGCCTTTGCTTTTGCCATGCCGCATAAACTGGCCGTGCTTGTATCCGGGCTTCAATCAGCTCGCGCCTGGTGTAAGGCTCAAACCAAAACTGTCTCTCTCCGCCTCTCGGCCTTCCCTCCGCTAGACGCCGACGTGCTCAATTACCTGCTTCGCATCACGGGCTTCAAAACGCCCAACCATGTTCGCGAGGAAATTGTTTTTCGGTCCGCACCATTGCTCTTCCCCATTTCTGCCTGAACGCTTGCACGAGCGCTCAGCTTTTGCTTTGTAGCACTGTGCCCCGCTTGTCCTCTTGTTTTCACCCGTCCGTGCTGTCCACTTGACAACCACGCACAAAACCTTTGCCAGCAATCTTTATCCTTTTGCCATGACGGGCCACGAACGGGATGATGTCTCAGGTCAGCCTCAGGCAGCCGATTTTTCGGGTTTTGCGCCTGCTACACGATCTATGGCGTGGGTATGCTCAACCCAGGTCCTTGCCTTGCCTTGCCTTGCCTTGCCTTTATAAGGAGTCAAGCCCTGGCACACTGGAAAGCATCCGCGGACCCAGTTTGACAAGGTCCCGCAGCAGGGCACCTCGGCCTGTACCTACATCGCCGGTGTCAATACAGTGCGCTTTGTGGTCGGATCCGGCACCGAGGTACCCTCCCCCGATATTTGGAGTGACAACATTGCCCGTGGCATCCTTGCCTATCAGGACGCTCGCGTACGTGATTCGTTTCATGCTCGCATCATCCCCTACAGCCCAAGCCCTCGCTGGGTTTTTTCTAACCACACCTGTCAATTGAATGGGCTGCTCTTGTCGCTGCAACGGCACAGGCCGTCAATCCCAACGCGGATCGTCACGTCGAAATTGCCGAGGCTTTGCCCTTTGTTGTGCGCCAGCTCGGCATTCCCGCGGTAGGTCACGTCGTGAGTTGCCTGAGCTTATTCATGCCTGGTGGGCAACAATTCCTCTTAAAGAACCCTTCGCATCATGTCGCCGTCTTTTTGTCAGGATGCGGTAACCTTTACAACGCAGGTCGTGACGTTACTCAAGCCCGCCACCATCAGTGAAGCCGACTTTTGGGAAATTGCTGGCGAAGAGGCTTTTCATCAATTTGGCAAAGCTGGGCTGATAGCCTGCCTCATGCAAGCTGTTGCTGCCGAAGAGGCGCCCAAGTAAGCTGCCAGAGTACATAGTATCGCGTGTTCCTCTGCGATAACATCTAGTCCCGCCACTTGTGCTCTGACCAAGCCCCCGTCACTCATGCACAATTCATCCCCTCAAGGATTTCGTCTCGGACCTCCTTGAGCGAAGAATGGGAGCCCGTGACACATGCCGAGGCGCGCGAGGAGCCCTCAGTCGAGATCCGCCATACCCGCGAGTGTGCCCTTGTCATGACTCGGTATGTCCATCATTTCCTGATGCCAAGTTTGCTCAAGCTTGCGCCGTTGCATACTACACCTCAAGCCGTCCCTGCTGCCCACTTTTCGGGACCACAGGCCACCCGAAACGCACTCGATCATTCGGGACGCGCAGGGTGTCATTTACTTTCGGGACTCGCACCGTCGTCAACAGTATGATTTTGACAACGAGGTCAGTTCTAGTTGATTGGACTGGTTCGCGTCTAGCACGCTGCTATCGGACAGCTACGCCGAGGCTTGCACTGCTCTACGTGCTGCCTTCGTCGCACCTAACATGATTTCTGACGTTGCTCGGTGCTTTGCTGGTCTTAGGCTGCCTTTGCCGAATGGTTGGAGAAGGATCAAACGTTCACGCTACCGCTGCCTGCTTGCTCTCTTGAAATGAATCAGGTGTGTGTGTGTGTGTGTGTGTGGTCTACGCCATCAATGCTTGTGCCCTTGCCTGGATGCTGGCGCAACTGAGCTCACGCACAACCACGCCGCTCTTGGTGCTTGGGACCGCCGTTTTCTCTTTAGGTGGCAATCACATCGATTCGGCCTACCATCCAGGGTGTTGTGGCTGATTCGCTTGCGGCCGACTTTGGGTTCCACGACCACTAGATTGAGTGATCAAAGGCAACATTGGCATGCCGAGACAAACAGAGTCACAGATGTGTACATATGGGCGCTTTGGAGTAGCGCGAGAGCCACGCTGTGTTCATGCCATGACATCCACGTGGGTGTGTCTCGCGTCCCGTGAAGATGCTGGGCACGTGTTGCCGATTAAATTTTGGCAGCTGACCACGAAATTGAGAAGTCAAGTATTGTGCAAGCATTCTTGACTTGGGTGTGTCGGGATAATTTGATGAATTGCACACGAGGGCGGACGAGCAGGGCAAAGATGCGCCTTGAACAAGATGCGGGGGTAAAAGTTGCCGCCACGCTGGCCGTCGCACGAAGCAAGTTTCCGATCAAGCGCGGAAGCTGATGGTGAGAAACAAGAAGCAAAAAAATGCCTGGTAGGGTCATGCGCTAGAGTGCTGTGGAACAGCAGCACGGGCGATGCTGGCAATGTCGGCCAACTGCAAATCGTAGAAGCGGTCCATCGCGTGCGCCAGCTGCTGGTAGCTTTCGCGCAAGGTGCTCTCTTGCGCATCAAGGGTACGAGCGACCACGACCTTATGATCGGTAGCCTCAATCACGAGCTCTTGCCGCAACTGCTCTTTAGCAGCACCCTTGGCAGCGCGTGCTTCTTGAGAGGTCTTGGTGAAGGTCTTGGTGGCCTCTTTGAGCGTTTTATCGACGGCCTTGCCTGTGCTTTGGCGCGCATCTTGAAACGCGTTGGTATCAAATTCGCGAAGGCTCTTGAGCTGTTGAAGCTGGACCTCATGCATGAGATGTACGCGCGTTGCCAGCAAGTCCAGCAATCGTCGCTGGTGCATTTGCTGCCGTTGCTTGAGATGCACCCTGAGTCCAGGGGGATAGCAAGCCAAAGTGAGGGTACGGCAAACAATCCGAGGCAAGAGCGAATGGCGTCGGCCCCAGATAGGCCCTGCGTAGTGAAGCGTACCGCAGTCGGTCAGTGGCACGCTCTTGGATCTGATTTTTAAGCAGCTTCCGTTGCGTCGAGTCCGTTACGTTCTGTAAAACGGCTTTTGTCTCGGCCTACAGATGGTGGGGGGGGGGGGGCAAACCAGCGAAAACGCGCGCCAGTCAAGGGGGGGACAGACATAGACGAGCCGCATGAACGAGAACGGTCCAAGCTGGCGCGGACAGCTGACTTTGACGCTGCGCTGCATTGCGGCCGTTTCCGTCTTCTCAAAGGCAGCCATGTCCTTTTTGATCACCGCCTCGGTCTTGCCAACGATGCGTTGGGTGGCGCGGTGTAGATTGTGGCACTGGTGGTGCAGGCTATCGATCAGCTGCTGGCGCTTCTTCTCTTGCTTACTGGGAAGCTACCATGCACATTATATAGATTGGGTATGAGAGGCATGAGACACGCGTCAAACTGAACGCAAGCTTTGGACCTACTTCAAAAGGGCAGAGCCAAAGGGGAAAGAACTGCACGAGCGGGAGATCACCGGCAGCAAACCGCTGGGCACCAGCCTGCGCCGCCTCGTCGCTGGTCTCGTCCAGAACAGCGGATGTGACGACGAGATCTGCCAGGTTGTCGGCGCTAGCAGCGGAATGGAGGATACCATCGGCGCGGACACGGTCTTTGGGACTGCGGGGTGCCAGTAGGCGATCCCCGGAGCGGACTTGAGGGGAAAGCTCGTCGAGATGCACCTGAAGGCGGCGCCGCGTGTTGGGGCTCATGTGGGGGCTCGTGGTGGCAGACGTGCTGCCCAGGGAGGTTCGACGAGGCGGCGCGGGTGGGGTCAAGGGTTGGTGGGCCAGGGAGCTGGATCGAGCGCGATGTGTATCTTCGACGTTCAGGAGCGGGTTGCTGTTGCCCCGTGTGGGCGGGGACGGGGGTGGGGGATGGGGCTGGTCCGAGGTCAAGCGGGGGCTTTGCGGGCCACTCGCAAAAGCGTCGTTGTCACTGTCTGCATCCGAGTCAGCCCCGAGGTGGATCGAGGGCACTCGTACTGGGTTGGGTGAGACCTTGACCTGGCGGCTAATCTTGCCATAAGCTCGAGCTTGATCCTTGGCGAGGCGTCGCGCGCGTTCGTACGCCTCGAGGGCAGCAGCGTCGCTGGGCTTCTGCATGTGTTCGCGTCCTAAAGCAAACGAGAAGGTGAGGATGGCCTCAGGTTGCCCAACTCAAGAGGGAGTGTGCGAGAAAGAACGGGATCGGGGCAAGCGTGGGGGTGCGCGTGGGGGTTGCTCACCAGTTGTTGCCTTGAGCACGCCGGCGGCTGTTCCAAACAAACCCTTGTTGGAGCGCCGCTCCAGCGCTACGACGGGCGCTTCTCGATCGTAGGCGATGAAGGAGAGTCGGATGTCCGGGTCCGGGTCATCTGTCGTGACGCGGCTCGGTCGCCGAGGCACGGCCAAGATGTTATCGCCCTCACGACGAGCCACTCGTGTGCCGCGGCGCTCCATGGTGTCACGGACACCCGCACGGCTTGTTGTGTAGAGTATGTACGTGCGTGCGTGCGCTGTGCGTGCGTAGCTCAGGTCGAATGGAACAAGCAAATGTGCTTGAGCGGCCGAGCTGGACACAGATTAGTCCTCTAGCAGGGTCCGATTGCCCGGATGGCCGTTGTGTACTGCTGCAGCCGGAATCTTTGACAGGTGTGCCTGCAACCAGTGTGCAGGCAAGCAAAACATCATTTCAAGGATGGATCTCACGGCGAAAAAACCACCACACGCGAGGCCTTCCTCCTCATTCGCACCGATCGGCACGCCTTACCGGGTCTGGCTGGCCATTGGTTCCACCGATGCAGATCAGCCCAGGCATGCCACGTTCAAAGGCGCTCGGATCAATCCCGACAGTAAAACAGGAGAGAGAAATATGAGAGAGAGAGAGAGAGAGAGAGAGAGAGAGAGAGAGAGAGAGAGAGAGAGAGAGAAAGAGAGAGAGCACACGACCACACTCAGGCATCCAAAAGTGTCTGACATTAGAAGCAATGCATGCACGGAGGTTGCGTATGCAGCACGAGCGACCGAGCTGTTTATAGGTGTTAGGATAGCGCTCGAGCGTCAATTTTGTGACAAACACAACAAACACGGTTCAAGAAAGACGCGAGCGCGACAACAAGTCTGCACAGCAGAACCTCAAACAGGAAAAGAAACCACTTCCACTTCTCATCAAAAAAAAAGAGAGCAAGCGGCCCAAAGACCCCCTTGCAAAGGGCGGTCTCGTGGAAAAGTACAAGAAGGTTGGCTAAAAAGAATTTAAAAAAATCAAGTCGTTTAAACACGCTGTAAATGGAGAAGTGTTTACAAGGTCGAAGAGCACATCACCCTTATCAGACGTCATCTAAACAGCATCTCCCATCATATCGTAGCCCAGCGCACGCTGCAGCCAGGGCATGCGAGTCACGTAATGCTCAGGCCCATCGGCCTGGGGCGGGTGGTGGTGGTGGGTTTTCAAAAGACGCAGCGAAGGGGAGCAGAACTCATCGCGCCAATAGTCATACATGCTGCGCGCTCGCCGGTCCGCATCCGACTCGGTCTTGCCGGCCGTCCCGTCTGTGCTTGAACCCGGGGGCGCCATATCATCCTCATCGCCCTCCTCTTCAGGAAGGCCATCCTCTTCGAGCTTAGCTTGCTTGGCCTTGGCTGCTTTGGCTGCCTCCTCTTGAGCTCGCTTGGCCCGGAACAACTTGCGTTGCTGTTCAAAGTCCTGACGAAGCTTGTCCACCTTGCTCTTGGCCGAGTGAACTTGGCACTCGTAGTCGGCCATGCGCGAGCGCACCAGCTCAGCTTCTTGCTGGGCCACCACAGCCTCCAGAACGGGGACCAAAGAGGAGAGCCTGAGTTGACGCTCCACAGCCAATTCCATGGCAATAATGGCCGTGAGCTCGGGTGGCGGCAGCATGCGCGCTGATGCCTCGCTGTGATGCACCATCTCGTCAGTGGGATGTTCACCAACGCCCTCTTCAGCAGCCTTGCTTCCACTACCAGCGACGGGCGGGCCGGGCACGACGCCACAGTCGTCGCGCCATTCACAGAGACCAAAGAAGCCGTCACCAGTTGGGTAAAAGTCGAGGCATCGGTTGAGCTGGGAATTCATCGTGCCAGGTGTGGTGCTGGTCACGCTCGTGACGTAGCCTTTTTCTTGCGCAAGCCGCGTCAGTTCAATATAGTGCATGGGCACGTGGTGTCCACATTCTTGGAGAATTTTCAGTGCAGCTGGAAAGAAACAACAGCAACCAACAAACGCGACAATAAGTGTTGGTGACACATCCACGAGCGGTTGTGCCGTGCGCGGTTAAGGGTGGGGTGGTCTCAATCAGCCGTCAGTTATCACAATTAAAATCTTTGACGCTGGTCTCAGAGTAGAGGTGTCAGAAAATGCAGTATGCAATCATCACTGGCAATCATGACACCACCCCAGGCCCTTGAACAACATCTGGAAGCAAGAACCCACCTTGAGGATAAATGCTCTTGCCCATTTTGACGATAAACATGGTGGCGCGGGCCGGTCGGACGGTAGCGGGGGTCTTGGAACGCGTTACCATGTCCTTGGCAGTTCGCACAGCCTCGAGAACGACGGCCTCGACCTTTGGGTCAACCTGATCGGGGAGTCGATTGCCATTCAAGGCGAGTGGACGCTTCGAGGGCGTGCTTGCCGAGGCATCCTGATCTGCGGCCGAGGGGGTAGCGGGTACCGATGTCGAGGGTGCCTGCGATGGAGACGCGGCTCGCTCAACTTGGTTGCGAACCATCTCCTTCGCTTGCTCCGGGGATAGACCGTGTTTGCGCTTGAGATGACGACTGATGGAAGAGCGGACGGCAAAGGTCTGACTGCAGATTGGGCAAAAGGAGGTGGCCTTTGAGCTGGGATCTTTGGGTGGCGGCTTGGCCGTGGTCTCCTGGCTATCCTTGAGAGACTTGGCCAGGTTCAAAAGAGCGCGTTCACGTCGCATTCGCCGCAGTTCCGTCTCGTAGACGGGGGCCAGTGCCTCTTGCATGGCAACGGCTTGTCGATAGCGGATCGAGTCGTCAGGATAAAGGACCCGAACGTTGTTGGTCAGCATGCGCACGTCTTCGGCGAGGGGAGGCAGATCACGATAGAGGCCTGTTTCAATCTTTTCCGCAATTTGGTCCAGCCAAATGGTGGGCTTGTTTGAGTTCAAAGTCCCCAAATCCGCATCCTCGGGCGGGCCCATAAAATGGGTGGCACATAGACCTTTGCCATCAGGGGATTTGACCTGAGTCACGGCCTATCAGGAGCACATTGAATCAGAAAAGACGATGAGATTTGACGTGACCATCGAGGACAGGTCGCTTACATTGCGCGATTGACGCAACCGTTTCAATAAATATTAGAGGCGACGAAACCAACCTTGTAACAGAGGTTCAGGGCTTGCCGAAGGTTTGTATTGAAATGATAGTCCATTTGAAAATTATTGTAAGAGGCCACGGGTGAGAGCAGGTCGGCCATGGGCAGAAGACTGTCAGCCTCTTCTCGAGCGGCCTGGTCAGTGCGGGCTTTCGCCTTGGGCTTGGGTTTGCTCTTTGGTTTTTCCTCCGCCTTGACCTCGGGCGTTGGCCGTTTCACCTTGAGTTTGAGTTTGAGCCGACCGCCGCCGACCATCTTGGCCGGGGCATCGTCACCATGGCCATCACCAGCCATACTGGCTGGGTCATCCAATGGACAAAACCCAGACAGCAACGGCAGGCCGGTGCTGCTGCCAGCTGCCAGCTGCCGCCTGCCGCCCGCTGCGACTTGCACAGCCAGTGGTAGCAGGACAAGCGCTCGGGGACGAATAAAATGCCACTGCCCCAACGGTCACACACACACACACACACACACACACACACACACACACACACACACACACACACACACACACACACACACACACACACACACACACACACACACACACACACACACACACACACACACACACGTTGCACTTGGAAGCAACACAGGGTCTGAATCATTTGGACAGCATTTTTCCCTCTCCGTAACATTCAAATTTCAGTGACTGCTCGGTGGCCTAAAAATAGCTGGCTTTGTCAGACGAGAGTGGGTTGGCCATTTTCATACACAACAGTAGTTGGGAACATGGCGGCAGCAACGGCAACCGGATCGGCGCCTTCGCTGCTGGGCGCGGAGGTGGAGGTGGTCACGGTGCAGGGCGAGAAGGTGACTGGATCCCTTTACAGCTGCAGTGACACACACAAGTTCCTGGCTATTTGTATGTATTCGTGTGGCATCGATGTAAACGATTCACTTGCTCGCCTGCTTTGCTCCCGTCAGTGCCCGACTTCCTCTCACCCGTGCCTTGCTTGCATGACTTTGCACGACGGGCCGCGCGAATGGGCCGCCTTGGCCGTCCTGATGTTTTTGACCCCCTTAGCACAAAAGACGACGAAGCCTCGCACAACAGATCCCAACGTCTTCGATTTGCGCTTCTTTAGCTATGACGTTCTGGAAAGTGTCACGGCTGTTCCAGGCAAGCCGATTGGCCGCCGGCCGGAAGCTGGTCACCTCAACGTTGATGAAATGAACAAGCGCATCCGCGCCGCAGTCCAAGATGCTCAGCGGTGAGTCTGTACTGTATCACGCACTCCTGTTTGCGTAGCCGCCCTCCGCTTATGCGTCGACCTGCCCCACAGTTTGCTCATTGAAACACCGTTTCACGCTTGTGTGGTTTGATGGCTTGTTACTGCACAGGCAATTGCAGTCATATAGCGAAACTGCATCGGACGATGCGCGGGCCGTGTTTCAGGCCATGACCAAGCTGGGCAAGTGCCAGTGGCATGC